AGCATGGTATGGTTTTCCATCTGTTTATGTTCTCTACTATTTCCTTCCTCAGTGTTTCATAGTTTTCCCTGTAGAGGTCTTTCACCTCCTTAGTTAAATATATCCCTAGGTATTTTGTTTTCTTTGTTGCTATTGTGAAGGGTGTTGAGTCTTTGATTTGGATCTCAGTTTGGCTGTTGTTGGCATACAGGAATGCTACTGATTTCTGTACATTGATTTTGTAACCTGAGACTTTGCTGAATTTGTTTATCAATTCTGGTAGAATTCACGGCAGAATCTTTGGGGTTTTCTAGAGATAAGATCATGTCATCAACAAAGAGCAGTAGTTTGACCTCTTCTGTCCCCATTTGGATGCCCTTGATTTCCTTCTCTTGTCTGATTGCTCTGGCTAAGACTTTCAGCACTATGTTGACTAGACATAGTGATAGAGGGCAACCTTGTCTGGTTCCAGTTCTAAGCGGGAATGCTTTCAGTTTTTCCCCATTCAGTATGATGTTGGCTGTGGATTTGTTATCTGTGGCTTTTATCATTTTTAGGTAAGTCCAAGAATTGCTTTGTGACTCAAAACGTGAACTATTGTGTAAATGTTTTATGTGTACATAAGAAAATGTCTACTATAATTTTGTAGATGTAGAATTTTTTATTTGTCTAAGTCAAAGTTGTTATTTACATTTTCTATATCTAATTTTCCCTGTAGTTCAATTTAAACTTTATTTTGAGACCATTTTATTAGATGGGTACATGTTTAAAATTTATTTCTCTTCCTGGTGAATTAAGCCTTCTATCATTATGTTGTCACCATCTCTATTACTAATAATGGTTTCTATTCTTAGTCTATTTTCTGATATAAATTTCTTTCAATTAGTATTTGCTTCATATATCTTTTTTCTATTCCTTTTCACCTTTCTTTTTTTTTTTTGAGATGGAGTCTTACGCTGTCACCTGGACTAGAATGCTGTGGTATCAGCCTAGCTGACAGCAGCCTCAAACTCCTGAGCTCAAGCAGTTCTCTTGCCTCAGCCTCCCGAGTAGGTGAGACTACAGGTGTGCGTCACCACGCCCGGCTAATTTTTTTATTTTTAGTAGAGTCGGGGTCTCACTCTTGCTCAGGCTGGGCTCTAACTCCTGAGGTCAAGATCCTCCCATCTTGGCCTCCCAGAGTGTTAGGATTACAGGCGTGAGCCACCGTGCCTGGCCTCCTTTTCATCTTGCTAGCTTCTTATCTTAAGATGTGTTTTATAAACAAAGTATAGTTTATTTATTTTTCAAACTTACCATTTTTTTTTTTACAAATTTACCAATTTATTGTGATGATGGATTTCTATTCAGTGTGATTATTGATATATTTGTACCTATTTTTCTTCTGTTTTACTTTGTTTCTATTCAATCTTTTTGTTTTGTGAATAGTTCATTCATAGCTGTGCTCTGTTTTGTGTCTAAAGAGTCTTTATCTGGTGATTGAAATCTGTTGTTGGTTGTTTCTTCTGAGTCCTATTTATACTTTGCTATCTTGTATTTTTCATATTCTTTGTGAGTTCAAACAGAATTTAATCAATGGAGACCTGCAGGACTAACTTGGGGGAAGCCTTCCTTTAGAGAGGTTTTGCTACTTTCTCTGCTGGTTACCAAACTACACAGTATCCAAGGACCAGATTAGCCTTTCTTGAGAGTTTTGTTTCAGAACAGGAGTCTGAGACTGAACTCCTTCTCCTGTTGCTATCAAGGCTTTATATCCCTTCAACATATTTGCTACAGGACTCCATTTCAATGACAACCCTGCTCCTTCCTACTGCCTATGGATCCAGGCTGGCTCCCTGTCAATCTTATTTTGTGCTTCTCTGATTGTTCCTGCTCTGATCCAAGTTCTTTATTTCTGTTGTCCTACATCACGTGAATTTCTGCTCTGGCTCCAGGCCTCTGAAGCCAGGCTCTGACTGCCCAGTTCCTGTTCTTGGCAATTAGAGGCCAGTAGCTCTCATTTGTTTGTTTGCTTTTTGTGGTGGTTATGGGTGTTCCTAGAAATTTCTCCTGCTAATTGAGACCAACAATTAGCCTTAAAAAATGTGTATTTGTGGAGCTGGGGAGGGTGGGCCAGGGTTGCTCAGAGTTAGTATTGGAAGCTGAAGTCTTTGATATGGATTTTTTCTTCATGATTTAGGACAATGTTTCCACATTCTGTGGATGCTTACTTTTTAGGGTATTATTAAGTATTATATAAAATAAAAGGTTTTATGG